GTATACTTTATTTATTTTTAGTTTTTTTTTTAATAAATATATGTACATTTTTTATTTTCTTTATATATATATATATATATATATATATATATATTATATATATATATATATATATATATATATATATATATATATATATATATATATAATACTTATTTAAATTTTTTAACTTTATTTTTCAACAAGTTTTTAAAACCTTTTTACTTTTTGTTTTCTATTTTTTTAGTGTATAGAGTAGATTAGAGTTTTTTTTTAGGTTTTTTCATATTTCTTTTAGTATTATATTTTATTTTTTCATCTTTTTATTATTTTTATTATTTTTTCTTATTTGTTTTCCAATTATTTGTTTTTTGTTTTTTGGTTTTTTTGGTTTTTTTGGTTTTTTTTTTTTTTTTTTTTTTTTTTGTTTTTTTATCTTTGTATTGACATTTTTCAAAAAGTATAAAATGTATTAATATATTAGAGTATATTACAATTTTGATAATTTATTGTTTTTGTAATTGTTTTTTATTTTTATTCAAATAAATAAAGTAGTTGGTCCAACTTATTTTCTTATTTTTTTTTTTCCTTAGTGCTATTATATTTATGTTACGAAAAAATAAAAATTTAAAAAAATAGTTTGTTTACTAAGAATTAGTGTTTCAATGTGTTATATAACTTGCAAATTAAATCATATTTCTATATGTGATATGAATAGATTAAATTCAATATAATATTTTTCAATTTGATAATAGATTAAAAAAAAAATAATAACAATAGTCGATCTTTATAAAAAAAACTTGTTATAGTAATTTATATTGAAGTCAAGTTCGTTTACTTGAATCAAAATAAATAAAAACATTAGAAAAACCATAAATAACTAAAATAGGAAAAAAGTAGAAAACAAAAATTGTAATATGAAAAAACCTTAGAAACAATATTAAAAAAAAACCATAAATAACAAAAAATAGAAAAAAAAAATAAAGAGGTGAAAAAAATAAAATATAATATGAAAAGAAATATGATAAAACCTAAAAAAACTCTAATATACTCTATATATACACTAAAAATAGAAAACAAAAGGCAAAAAAGTTAAAAAAAATTGTTGAAAAATAAAGTTAAACAATAAAATAAATAAAATATATATATATATATATATATATATATATATATATATATATATATATATATATATATATATATATATATATATATATATATAAAGAAAATAAAAAATGTACATATATTTATAAAAAAACCGAAATAAATAAAGTATACAAAAAAAAAAAAGTTAAAAAACCATGTGGTGTAATTTTTTTCAAACCTCAGAGACTAAATTTGAACTTTTTAGGATTAATTTTGCAAAAAAGTTAACAAACTTAACCATGAAACTCGTTAAGTGGGCTTGAGTGATAATTCTGCGAGAAAGTTGTGGTCACAACAATAATAAAAAAAATATCAGGGTTTTTTTCAATTACACGTTAAAAATTTAGAGTTTTTATAATATTATATATAGTCTATATCCTATATATATATATATATATATATATATATATATATATATAATATATATATATATATATATATATTAAATTCGTTGCTAAGGTACTAACATGGTATTAAAAACTTTGTACCGATATCGTACCATGATTTCACAATTGGTATGGTACTAACAACTGAATATGTTGGTTCCCAAACATATTGGTTACCGATATTCTTGGTTCGGTTGGTAATATGTTGGTTGGTTTTGCGTAATACACATTTGCAAGCCCTACCTTAGTCAAAGTAAATTGTTGTATTATCAAATGTAAGAAATATGATGTAAAGGTTACAACGCGAAGAATGGGGGGGGGGGGGGGTTCGGATGGCCAGGGCAACCTCTCAAATTTTAAAGCACAGTGTAGTTTCTTTCAGAAATTTCCCGATATAATGTAAATATTCTAGTTTGCCACCCTTAAAATCATGTGGACCACCATTGAGATTTTGTTTTTCACCCACTGACAAAAACGAGTAAAGAGTTCATAAGAATTATTGCTTGTCTCCTGTTTTGCTTTAATTGTTAGCATTAGATCGATCAACTGGGCAAGGAAAACTAGGATTGAAAGATTGCGAACATAAAGAATTATGTATGGAATGTTCATAAGGTATCTACTTCGTTGTTTCTTATGGATTTTCCTCTTGATGTGGATTCTAAGAAATTATTGTAACGCTTGCTTCCTGATGAGAATTAAAATCTATAAGATCGATAGATTCAAACATATATGAATAATAATTAACAAAAGGCAATGAACACCACAATGAATCAAGAGAATGTCGAATGATTAATATGCTCTACCTCAGAAGAATTCAATAAGAATTGCTACTGTAAAGGTGTGCTAGGGTTACAATACTTGATCTCCAAAATAATAATCAAAAGCGTATTTTATATAATGCATGCATGCACTATATATATACACACCCTAAAACTGAACACGGCTGGACAGGGCCAGACTGTGAGTACATATGGACCGAACTACCAAAGCCCAATGGCGTAATCACTTAGACTCAACACTTCCGGTATGAGCTTATTCCTCCAAATTGTTCATATTTTCTATGGGACTCAATGTGTTGAAAGCTTCAACACAGTGCATCGAGAAGACTTTGGCCGTGAAGATTAATGAACCAAAACGGCTAGTGGAGGTTACTCAAATCGGCTTGTTAGGGGTTGGGAAGGAAACCCTAATTTTTAGGGTGTTGCACCCTATTTAAAGGCCTTAAGTCCCTTGGTTGGCCTCCTTACCAGCCTCCTCTGTCCAGAAACCCTAAAAATGTGTATCATCTTCCTTTCTTAGTGTGTGATCTTGTGGAGGGTCTTGAGTGTTGATCTTTTTTGGTACTAATTTGAAGAAGCTTTGAAGTTGAAGGTGTATAGCTTGGAGAGAAGACTTAGATCCATAATCTCCCTACTTATTGCAGTCTCATAGAGGTATCAAATTTATATGTTGCTTTGTTGTTGTTTAGATCTCTTTGGTTTGGGGTTTTATCTTGATTTTGGGCTTATGATTGGGTTGTCCAAGAAGTTGAGTGTTCCAGGGGTTGTCATGTTAAATCTAGCCATTTTATGGCCTAATTTAGCTTAAGGTTATCTTTACTATGTTCTAGGTCCCATTCATCATATAAGTCCTTTATTAAGCCCTTCTTGAGCCCTAGGGTTTCTTTTTAGCATGCATGGACTTAAAGTTGGAAACTTTATGTGTTTTTCCAACCTTTGGATGCCAGATCTGCATTTTGGGACTATGTCTTTGTAGTTTATGGGCTTAATGGGTCAAACCTCACTCTAATGAGTCTAGGGTTCGGGTTTGACTCATTTTGGTGGTTCCTAAGGGTAAAGTTTGAAACTCTACCCTTATAGACATCATTTTAGGGGATATATAAGATTAGGAGCTCCTAGATTCGATGGAAGCAACTTAATGCATTAAGTTGTTGAATTTCTGGCTAACTCGGCGTTTTCATTAGTGAACATGGCGAGTTGATACGATTTTCCCAATCTTTGCAGTTAATGGAGGAGCAAGGCAAGTTGAAGGACAACTTGGCATGTTAGGTTAACTCGGGTCGTTGACTTTGACTTTTGACTTTAGTCTTTGACCAGTTTTGACCTATAAGGGGTTTTAGAGCATTTTGAGTTGTATTTAAGGAATTGTTTCTGTTTAGGGGTTGAGTAGAGTTAATATTGGAGCGGGGACCTGTTCAGCTATCGTTTTGTATTCGATGTGAGTCTTCTCACTACACTCATGGGTTGAAGGCTCCAAGGTCGGCCCATTAATTATTAGGAGATGATTTGTAATGGAGTATGTAATTGTTTGCTCTTTGATCTATATGTCGACTCATGTGAAGATTATGGGAGGAGCCATGACACTTGGCAAGACTATGGCACGAGCCCATGGCTTGGGGATACAAGACCATGGGGGAAGCCAATGCCATTCCAATAAAGATCATGGAGGGAGTCCATGGCAAACTTATATGTATGTATGCATAGCATTATGTCATATATGTTTTCTGTGGTTTGGTAAACTGACTAAGTGTGTGCTTACAATTTTGTTGGATGTTTCAGATACTTCTAGCTCTAAGGGCAAGGGCCTGGCTTGATGGTGCGGCTTGCATTCTCCAATATTTTCACATTTAGTTTTGATACTATGATCTTTTAAAACACTATTGTCATGCAATGAGATTTTTGGAAACAATTGTGGTTGGTATTTATGATTATTAAAAGTTAAAATGTTTTGTAAAATTTTGTGTTGTTACAATTATGGGGAATATGTGAAGATTATAGGAATGTATTTGATGTTTATATTGCACGAAAATTATCTATATTTTGGAAACGGTTGTTGTTCTGTTCATTAAAGTACATAATTAAAAACAGTTAGACGTTAATTTACATGACATTTGCATTGGTAATCACCATGTTTTTTTTTCTTTCCCGAAATTTTATAGAGATGATATACGAAAAGGTGTGGGTCCTGCTCAGGTTGAACCAAATGTAGTGTTGGTAGGAACTTCAAATTCTCAAAAGGGATCATTTTCTAGTGTTGTGAAAAGGTGGATAAAACAAGGGTAAGAATTCAGATGTTTCTTTGGTTTTGGAGGGGAAGGATATTTCTAATGACCTCTCTTTGAAACCGTGTTTTTTCAGGTTAGAAACATGATACTAATTCGAAAATTGGTTGCTCTCTTAAAGGAAGAAGGGTTTCATGATCTTCACTTTCGTTATTTGGGTGCAGATTAGGTATATGTTATATTTGAGTCAGAGTTAGTTTGTTCTAAATTTAGACCAATGTTGAATGGTTTTAAGATCTTAGAGAGAGTTACTTGGATTGAGATTTTAGGATTGCCTTATTGTGCATGGAACAATGTTGTCGTGAAAAAGGTGGCGGGTTTATAGGGTGATGTCTGCTTCTTGGAAGAGGATATTCAACCTCCGTTGGTTGTAAAAAGAGTTTTCATTAAAAATCTTAAACCTTTTTTTGACTCATGATAGGATTAGTATGGTGGTTGAAGGCATTAATTATAAACTGGTGATTAGAGAATTATCCAACTGGGAACCAAATATTGTGTGTAATAAAGAAGTTTTGGATCGTGGTATAACAAATATCTCTGGTGATACGGATGATGAGGCTCTCGAATATGAAGTAAATGAGAGTAATTACACTCTAATTGGAAATAATCAACAAAAAGATGGTGCATTTATTGATTATTTTCCAATTAGAAAGGAAGTGAATGAAGACCGAGGTGCGTGTTTTGTTAACAGAAAGGGTGGATTCTTCCAAACAAGCGGGTTGAAATCAAATGTTCTGGTGGGAGATGACAATCATTTCTCTTCCTCGAATCTTGTTGTTGCCAATTCTCCTTCTACGACAGCTGCCTCCTTTTGGGTTACGACTGTTCATCTGGTTTCAGGCGTGTCAATGGTTCAAAACTAGTTGCTAATAATTTTAAATCAACTTCTTCAAGTTCTCATGGTTAGTCGAAGCTTTTGAAGAAATGTGTTACAGCTAATGTGTAGGATATTGTTGATATTATGAAGCAATATGTTGAAATAGGAGGTGTACTTGGTTATGATATGTATGGTAATAAGGAAAAGATTAAGAAAATTTTGACTAGTACTGGTGTAATTCATGTTGATAAATGAATTATTAATTTTTGAATATATGTCGTACTTGTGCTCTTTCTAACAGGAATTGGGTGTGGTCTATTTGTGTTCAACAGTGTGTCTCGTTTTTGGGTATCCATGAAACAAGGATGACTTAATCAGATTTATTTAGAGCTCGGAGTATGTGGGGGGAATAGCAATTTTGATTATGCTTTTAGTAATGCTTGTGGGGGGTTGGGAGGTGTTCTAGCTATTTCGGACCCCCAATGTTTTTAATAAAAATAATGTAGTTTCCACTAAGGAATGTGGTTATTGTTGGTCGCTTGTGGGTCATGTTTAATATGGAGTGTTATATGGTGAATGTGTATGCGCCTCAAGACTTGGAAGGGAAACACCAGAGTTATAATTGTCCGTTTTTTTGTCAACAAAGGGGGTAATTATATTATTTTTGGCGACTTTAATGTTTTTAGAAGTGAAGAAGAGATTTTAATGATTTTATTGATGATATGGATGGGGTGGATGTTCTCATGACAAGAAAAACGTTTAATAGGATTGATTCAACGACTGTTAAAATTAGTAAACTTGATCATTTCTTGGTGTCGTAGGCAGTTTTTGTTAGATTTCGAGGCTTGCAAGTGACAATGTTGGATAGAAAGTGGTCTAATCATTGCCTTATTTTGCTTCATGATCATAAAGTTGATTACAATCCTACTCTTTTTAAATTTTATAATTCTTGGCTCCTTATGGATGGGTACGATGATGTAGGGTACGTGTATGTTGATGATTTTGTTGTTAATCATACATGGAGTAAGTTTGTTTTGTTTAAAAATAAACTTCAATTCATTATGAATAGGATCATTGATTCGCATGTTCGGGCTAAGATTGTTCGAGAATATAAGAACTTGCCGTTGGTGTCTTGGTTGATAGTTATTGATAACTCTATTGATGATGGTACTTCTACGGTTGATTTGCTTAATGAAAGAAAACAAATTTGTGGGGTGTTCACTAATATGGAGAAGCTTGATTCTTTAAAAGCAAAAAGGTCAAATGGTTGGTCGAATGGGTTGATAAATTTAGGGTTTTTTATTGGTATGTTGAAAATAAAAAGATGTCATATATTAATTCACAGTGTTTATGTTGACGGGGACTAGGTCACGGATCCGATCGATGTTAGAAAAGAATTTTTTTTATTTGTATTTGTCTAAGTTCAAGGCTTTCCATAATATTCCCATGGCATCTACAAGCAATCGATTTTCTTCCGTCTTACCTAAGGATGTTGAGTTACCAGAAAAAACGTTTCTAGCTATAGAGGTTAAGGAGACAGTTTGGGACTATAATCGGGACCGAGCACCTGGCCTGGACAAGTTTTCTTTCAAGTTACTTAATGAGTATTGGTATGTTTTAGGTGACTATGTTATTGCTTATGTGCAGGAATTTTTTTACAAACCTATTATTCCAGTAGGTTGTGATTCCTTATTTATTACTCTTATCCCGAAGGTTGATAACCCGTTGTTGGTGACGAGTCCGCACTATTAGTCTTATTGGGATACAAATCAAAGTAATTTCTAAGTTTTTAGCAAAACTTTGCTTTGGTTCTCCCCAACTATATTGGTATGGAGCATCCTACTTTTTTTAAGGTTCGTCAAATTTTAGATGGTCCCCTTATGGTAAGTGAGCTCATTTTGTGGTTTAATAAGAGAAAAAAAAGAAGTTTATATTGGCTTATGAAGTCTTGTCCAACATGGAGCACTTAGATCACAATGGAGCACTTCGGGTTCATGGAGCATGTGCAAAGGAATAGATCATTTGAGAAAGGAATGGACCGTCTAACAAAGGAATGGGTCAAGTGCTAAAGGAACGAATCGTACAGAAGGGGCTTTGGAGCACATGGAAGGGGTCTGGAGCACTTGGTAATGATATGGAGCAACAAGGGTACCTTTTTGCGCAATGTGCTGAAGACTTGGGCCGAGAAGGATGTTGTTTCCCAAGGGCACTCTTTCTTGTGCCAATATACTCACTCTTGTGCCATGAGGTACTCTTGTTGCGCCACGGAGTATGTCGTTGCGCCAAGGACGGCCTTGTAGAGCCATATATGTTATTGTTTAGCCCAGATGGTGATGTTGCTCCAACCTAGACACTCTTGTGCCACACTCGATTCCTATTATGCCATCTATATTCTTGTTATGCCATGATGGCGGAAGACGGACCATTTTGGTCTTTGATGGGCCAAGTATGCTATGAAGTCCTCTATCATGATCAAGATGGAAGAATGTTCTAGAAGACTCTGCATAGCAGAATATGATTAGTAGTCCCCATTCATGGGCCTATAGGCCAAATGGCTTGGCTTATTAGGGTTATTGGTTTGACCCCTCAGGTATAAAAAGGCTCATACCCCATCATTGTAAATTGCTAGATCTCTATGAGAGATCAAGTCAGATATAATTTTGCATGCTTGTAATTGTTCCAGAAAGTTAATAAAGTCATCTCTCTCTCTCTCTCCCCCTTAATCTCTCTCTCTCTCTCTCTCTCTCTCTCTCTCTCTCTTTCTCTCTCTCTCTTTTCGCTTGTGAACGTAGGTCACCTTGACCGAACCACGTTAAATATCGTGTTCTTTTGAATTATGTTTTTCTGAAGTTTTATGAGTTTGCTGAAGTTTGTGTTTTAATATTTATTCGAGGCACTTACCTTGTTTTGTTGTTACCCAACAAACTGGTATCAAAGCTATGGCTGAAGACGCGAGAGATAAGATCGACAAGTTCAATGGAAAATATTTTGGTTTTTGGAAGATTCAAACTGAAGACTACCTCTACCAAAATAATTTACATGAACCGTTGTCAGAAGATAAGTCATTCCTTATGAAACAGGAGGATTGGGAGTTGTTAGATCGACATACACTTGGTGTGGTGCGTTTATCATTGGCAAAGAACGTTGCTTACAACATTGTCAATGAGACGACAACTTATGGGTTGATTAAAACGCTATCTAATATGTACGAGAAACCTTAAGAGGCGAATAAGGTTCACTTGATTCAACAAATGGTAAATTTGAATATGAAGGAAAATAGCTCAGTGACTGATCATGTCAATGAATTTAATTCAATCTTGTAAAGGTTGCCATCGGTTGAGATTAAATTTGCAGATGATGTCCAAGCACTACTACTATTATCATCATTACCCGAAAGTTTGTCAATAACAGTGACAGCAGTCAGCAGCTCAGCTGGAGGTGCCAAGATGACATTCGAAGGCATACACTAGGGAGGAGCGTAGGCGGGTAACCACCTCATTTGGCGAGAACCGGAACCGGCGGTTCCTAGAAAGTTAGAACCGGAACCGCTCTAGGCAGTTCTTAAATGTTTGGAACCAGTCCCGGAACCGGCGGTTCCGGTTCCGGGAGCGAATAACCCCGTCGCATTAGTTTTGTTAACTTTTTTCGACAAAACCGCAATTTAGTTCGATCTAAATCAAATCAATTCGGACCAAAGACGGACAAAATCGAACCAATATATTCTAAACCGGTCTAAGTAACACACATTTATATGAAGTTATATATATATATATATATATATATATATATATATATATATATATATATATATATATATATATATATATATATATATATATATATATATATATATAAACCGGTTCTGGCGGGTACCCAGCTGGTAGCGGTTCTGAAAAAAAAAATCGAAACCGGAACCGCTTAAGGCAGTTCCATAACTTTAGGAACCGGAACCGGAACCGCCTAAGGCGGTTCCATTTCCAAAACCGGAAGTTCCGAGGCGGTTCCAGTTCCAAAAGCGGGTACCCGGTTCCGATGCTCATCCCTAGCATACACGACTTCATCCTCAGTGAGCTTGTACACAGGAGAAGTTCTAGAGAATCCTATAACAGTCTTCTTAGTACTGAGGAAAGAGGAAGGAAGTGCAACAGAGGGAGTAAGGGTAATGGAAGATCAAAGTCAAGCAATATCGGTGTATCGAAAAATAGGAAGGACATCACCTGTCGGAACCGCAAAGAAAAGGGTAATTTGAGGAATGAATGTCCAAAGCCTCTTGCAAACAAAGGCAAGAATGAGATGATCATTGCATTAGAATCTGAAGGAGATACTGTTATCTGTGTAGTCGAAAACTCAGTTGAATCATGAGTCATAGATTCTGGTGCATCATTCCATGCTAGTTATTCCAAAGATGTGATGCAGAATTTCAGGCAGTAGCATGGGAAGGTCAGACTGCATACAACAAGAGCCTTGATATCACAGGTGTTGGGGATATGGTCCTCAAGACTAATTTGGGTACAAAATTAACTTTGAAGAATGTCAAGTTCATTCCAAACTTGAGAAGAATGTTGATATCAGTTCGCAACTTGGTGATGAAGATTACCATGTTACTTTGGTGATTATCAATGGAAGGTGACAAAGACAAAACTTGGTGGTTGCTAGCTGTCACAAGCGAGTCACAGTTTACATGGTGGAAGTTTCTGATGATGAGGCACATGTTGTTGAAGAAATTGGGGAATCCACTCTATGGTACCAAATAATTGGACATATGAGTGAAAAAGGAATGAAGATGCTTGCGTCCAAAGGAAGAATTCCAGATCTAAAGAATGTGACAGTAGATTCATATGAGCCATGTGTTCTTGGCAAACAGAAGAAAGTTACTTTCGTGAAAATAGGACATCCACCAAAGACAAGGATGTTAGAGATTGTTCATTAAGATGTCTATTGTCCCACTTCAGTTTCTTCAGTGGGATGATCCCGATATTATGTTACATTCATCAATGACTACACTAGGAAAGTTTGGGTGTATTTCTTGAAGCAGAAGTCTGAAAA